CCTGGCCACAGCACTCGAGGTGAGGTCTCACCTGAGCAGAGCAGAGGAGCAGAATCACCTCCTTTACCTGCTGGCCACAATCCTTCTGGTGCAGCCCAGGATACAGGTGGCTTTCCGGGCTGCAAATCAAATACAGTGGGATGAAATCCACACATGCAGAAACATCCAGGGTTTTTTCCCCACTGGAAGAATTAAAAAGCCTTGACAAGGCTTCATTATTCTGAAATATTAATAAGGAGTAAAAGAGCAATATCAGAGGGACCAGCAGGAATTCTCTGTCTTTTCCACTGTCTGTTATGGTAATTTTTTCCATGTAAATCAAAGATCTTAAAGGTTCAGCAAAAGCACATACAGGGATTACAAAGGAGTATGTAACAACCTGGACACTTCATTTCCCAGACACATGCCACATGGAAATCCTAGTTCCTAGAATGAGGAATGAATGGTATGGGACACTCCCAACTTTCTAGCACAATTTAACTGATAACATTGGAACCAAAACAGAATCTTTATACAGAGCCACCCTTAACCTTTAACAAAGTGTTAAAATTGCACTTGTAAGGGCAACTGCAGCCAAGGACATCCACAGGCTTCCCAGATTTCCGGGGAAGTGCAGGTCCTGGACACAGCTGAATGTCAGCCTGTCTCCAAACCACACAAAATGTGACTTTTTGTACCAAGATTTGTTACAAGCCAGTGACCAATTGTACCTCACATCTGGTGGGGGCAGGAGACGATCCAGCAGCCTGCGAGATATCATTGTTCCTACATTAATTAACCATTGTTCAGAGCCACTCACTAATTGCTCTTCTTGTGCAAACACTGGCAGCTCAAGGTTTTAAACGCTGCACGGGGAGGGCTGAGCACAAAATCCTGCTCTTGGGAACGGGGGGTGACACAGGCAGGTCCCTGTGTGCTGCTCTGAGAACCTTGTTGTGTGGAGGTGGAACAGAAATGCCTTAAAGGGACGAGCTGATGGATATTCCGGGTCCATTCAGAGCAAAAAAAGAAAAAGCCACAAGCACACAGGGGCTTCAGTTTCCTTGTATTTGAGTAAAGACTCTTTGTAAAGGGAAATAGGTTAAGGGGTGGCAGGGCTGGGGAGCTGTGGGAACACGGGGTGAGGGGCTGGGCTGCTGTGGAGATGTAGGGTGAGAGTCTGGAGTGCCATGGGGCCGTGGGGTGAGGGATTGGGGTGCAATGGGGCTGTGGGATGAGGGGCTGGGTTGCCATGGAGTTGCAGGATGAAGGGCTGGGGTGCCATGGGGCTGTAGGATGAAGGGCTGGGGTGCCATGGGGCAGTAGGGATGAGGGGCTGGGGCACTGTGGGGCTGTAGGGTGAGGGTCTGGAATGCAATGGGGCTGTGGCATGAGGGGCTGGGTTGCCATGGGGTTGCAGGGTAAGGGGCTGAGGTTTCACAAGGCAATAGGGTGAGGAGCTGGGGT